CTCCCCACTTAGAATAGTGTACAACGCATTTGTGAGAATTGGGACATACCCATTATGTTATTCAAACGTACGGTATATAACAGAAAGACAGAACGAAAAAAGACAGATAGACCTCAAGGAAGAAAAGAATAAATGAAGAAAGAAAGGAAAAATGCAAAAACATTAAAATAATCGGGTAAAATAATTTGAGAAAAAAGAAGATTGATTCAGAAAAGAAAGAAAGAAAAAACAAAAGAACGAAAATGCGAAAAAAAAAAGATTGAAAGAAAGAAAGAAAGAAAGAATGAATGAATGAATGAATGTATGTAAGAACGATTGAAAGAAAGAACGTAAAATAGAAAGAAAGAAAGAAAGAAAGAAAGAAAAAAAAAGAAAGAAAGAAAGAAAGAAAAGAAAGAAAAAACAAAGAAAGGGAACAAAAAAAAAATCACGAAAGAAAAGAACGTTTAAAAGAATATTAAATGAATGAATGGGCAATATAAGAAAGAAAAAAGAACGGAAAGACAAACGAAAGAAATAAAAAGAAAAGAAAGAATGAAAGAAATAAACCAAATGAAAGAAAGACGGAGAAAAAGAAATGTACGAACGAAAGAAAGAACGAAAATATCGAAAGAAAGAAAGCACATGAGAAAGAACAAAAGAAATAAAGAGCATGAAGACTGAAAAACAAACAAAAAATAAAGGACATAGAAAAAATTGCTGTAGAAGGAAAACAAAGAAAAAAATTAAATCCTTAACAAACATAAAGGAATATGCGAAAACAAAAAATAACATCAACTGTTTCACCAGAATTTCACCAAAATTGAAACGAGAAAAAAAAATGGAAGGCAAATTTTAAATCAAAAGAACGAGAAGAAATTATCGCATTTTTTTGAGTTTGATTTTTTCAAAAAAAATCATAACAGGAATCGCCAATAATGTTCGAACTTTTGATAAGATATCAGTCTCCAATCACCAAACGATTACCTGTTCAGAATGAAATGCATTGCACATCAATGATCAAGAGACTGATTTTTTTTGAGATTTCTGCCTTTTCGAAGATACAGTAATATTGGGTTTTTGTCTTTAAATTTATATTCCTCTCGTTTATTTAAGACCTTTTCTTTTCCTCTCAAAATTCACATTCCGTTTGGGCCTAGGAATAATATTGCCGGAAGCAGAAGCAGACCTAGCTGACAGCAGAATATATTTTTTTCCTTTTATATTTCGATAAAAGACAGCAATAAATTTGACTGATACTTTGAATTAAATGAAAACTAAATACATCATAGAGACGAACGTCTTTATTCTTCTACAAGGAGATTTTAAAACATTTTGATATATATATATATATATATATATATATATATATATATAATTAACATTAAATATTCCATGGTTATAATTATCACTAAATATTCCATCAAACACTAATATTCCATGGTTATATTTGTTACATTAGAATCGGGATTGAGACGTTTATATTATTTTCTTCCTCTGTCATGGACATTGAGCTCTACTATACTCTTTGAAATTTATATATATATATATATATATATATATATATATATATATATATATATATATAATTTAAGATATATATATATATATATATATATATATATATATATATATATATTCTGGCATCTCCTGTTGTATTCGAGTTTCTAGTAACCGACAATAAAAGGACACAAGCACTTATGATTTGATTATAGTTGTGAAGGCTCTGTGCAGAACCAACCACACTTTTCGATGAGACACCAGGTGCAGTACATTACACAATGTCCCCAAACGACCCTCCGTAGGTTTTGAATTCAGAGTTGTCCTATTCCGAATGGAAAAATCAGGCGTGGCTGACAACATGTGGAGAGAAAAGGGAGATCACCACCTTCTGTGGGATCAGGTTGAAATCACAGACAAAGAACATAATTGGAAAATTCGTAAATTTGTGGCCTAAGATATGTGCTGATTCCTTATCAGCACATATCTTAGGCCACAAAAATCTCCTGAGCCGACCAAGCATAGAAATGAATACAATGAGGGAACCAGTAATAAGGTGTGCCAGAGAAAAACAATAATAACATCGAAAATTGCAATATGAGGACTGGTAAAAAAATTTCCTGAATACATTAATTTTACAAGTACCAGAAATTCATAAACAGATCTCCTTAAGGACACATTGCACAGTGGCTAAAGGCGTTGGTTAGTTCCAGTGACAGTATGAGTTCAATACCTGGTTAAGGCAGTGGAGAACTTAAGGAGGTGAATTAAGAGGAGATAACTGACATGGAACTAGAACAGTCTACCCCAGTGAGCGAAATAAAAGTTGTGATAGATACGGCAACAAATATGAAGACGATAGTCCGAATAATGTAAATCGTGTACTTAATACCTCATCTCAGAAATATAGACAGATGAAGTTGGTTGTGTTAAATTTAGTATAGTATATAAGTACATTTATTTTTACTGGGGTCAGTGGGAATATATTAGTACTTATGAGATTCTTTAGAATTTTTTCATCTTGTATATATGTATATATGTAAGCAAATATATGGATATAGATCCGACAGTATAAAGAAAAATATATGGAAAAACAAAAATCCGAATATGCAAATATGCTGTTTTAATGTGGTTTCAATGTCGACGTCAGATAAATTTCAGTTATTCTGTTTTTATTAGTCTTACTCTTATGTCTATCGTCTTTTCATGTTGACTGAAGAAGGTCTACTAGACCGAAACGTCTGACGCCGACATTGAAACAACATTAAAACAGCATATTTGCATATTCGGATTTTTGTTTTTCCATATATTTTTCTTCATATGTATATGTATGAATGGATGTGTGTGTGTATGAATCTTGATTTTGAAGTCTATTTCTCTACCGCCATCACTGATTTTCATTCATTTTCTCCCTCGAATTTCGTTCATTTATATCATATTAGGTTGTCCCAAAAGTTCGTAAACACTTGCAAAAAATTGAAATTTTACTCGCCAAGTAATAACAAAAACAACAAAAATTATTCCCCAAAATAAAGACCATCATTTTCCAAGACATTCTGCCAACGATCTGCAAGCTTTCGGATCTGGTGAAAGTACCATTCGAATCAAAGATTTCTTGACACGCTTCCTCGACTTTATCAAATGAGTCGAATCGGCGGTCCTCCAGAAAGTGTTGCATTGAGCGAAAAAGGCCGTAATCTGATGGAGCACAGTCAGGACTGTAGGCTGGATGTGGCAGAACCTCAACGCCGTCCAGCTCTTTAAACTTGTCTTTGGTCTTCCTGGTGGTATGTAGCTTGGCATTGTCCTGCTGCATCAAAGCGCGCTTTCGGTTGATCAGAGCCGGGTACTTTTGCTTCAACTTTTCGTAGACCCGCTCCAGTTGCTGACAGTAAAGTTCGGCACTGATGGCACGACCATTCGGAACCAACTCAAAATGCACGATTCCTTCAAAGTTCCACCAAACACACAACATGACTTTCTTGCCGAATCGATCTTGTTTTGGAACCGACGGTGTCTCTTGCCCTTTCTGAACCCATCGCTTGTCTCGATTTTTGCTGGATTGTGTTGCATAAAAATTCAATTTTTCGCAAGTGTTTACGAACTTTTGGGACAACCTAATATTTAATTTAAGTTAGTTTCTCTTCTTCTTTTGCTTTCATTCATTTTTCTTCTTTTACATCTCAGACTTTTCTGATTTTCTTCATTTTTCTTCTTGTCTGTCGTTCATTTTCTCCGTTATTGACATTTGTTCGTGCATTTCCTTCCCTGAGTTTACCTTTCATTTTTATTTGCTTTTTCTCCTCCCTGAACTTCATTCATATTTTAGTTCACCGACTTCTATTCATTTTTTAATTCTGTTCATTTTTTTTCCTTCTTTCTTTCTTTCATTCATTTCCGCTTTCTTTTTTCTTTCAGTCATTCCTTTGTATTTCTTTCCTTTTTGCTCCTTTTATCGTCTTTCATTTATTGACTTTCTTAATTTTATTTATGTATCTCTTGCTTTGATGTTCATTCATCTGTTATTTTCTCCGATTTGTTTTTCTTTTTCTTCGGCTTTCATTCCTTTTTCTTCTTATCTGAATTTTGTTTAGTATTATGTTTCTTTAATTTCATTCGTTTATCGCCTTTTAATTTCGTTCACTGATCCCCTTCTTTGGCTTTCATTCGTCTATCCCCCTCTTGTTTGACTTTCATTGACATTTCTCCTTCGAATTTCATTCTATTTTTCCCTTTGAATTTTCTCATTTTTTTCTCATTAAAATTCGTTCTTCTTCTACATTTACTCTAAGTTTCTCGTTCTTTATTTACATTATTCGGACTATTGTCCTCATCTTTGTCGCCATATTTATCACAGCGTTTCGGCGCAAAATACGCTCCGGCCTTCTTCAATATTTTGCTTTTTCGAACTTTTTAAACAGGTATTGAACTCACAATCTTTGGGTCCTGTCAATGGATCTAACCTCAAGGACACATGGCACAGTGGATAAAGGCGTTAGTTAGATCCAGTGACAGAAGCCAAAGAGTGTGATTTCAATACCCGGTTAAGGCAGTGGAGAACTTTCAGAGGGAGATAACTGATAACTAACATCCATCAAACATGGCACGTGGAACTAGAACAGTCTACCCCGGTGAGCGAAATAAAGGGTTCAGTTCGAAATTCCAACCACCTGAAGAAGGCCGGAGCGTACAACGGCCGAAACGTTGTGATAAATATGGCAACATAGATGAGGACAATAGTTCGAATAATGTAAATAAGACCTCATCTTAGAAATATAGACTTTCCCGTTCTTGTCTTTCACAACTTTTATTCTTTTAATTTCATTCATGTTCATCCTTTTTTTCTTACTTAACTTAAATTCGTTATTTTTCTTCTTTTATTTTCATTTATTTTTTAACTTTCATTCATTCTTCACCTTTGAATTTCTTTCATTTTTCTCATTATCTTGAATAACATATTATTGTGAGACCGTAACATACCTACAACATGGACTCTTCCAGGACTATTTTGCGATATAGGACTAGATAAAGAGAGAGAGAGAAGAGAGAGAGAGAGAGAGAGAGAGAGAGAGAGAGAGAGAGAGAGAGAGAGTTCTAATACCGTAGTATCAGCCGCGTACGACTACCAATATTGGACACTAGCACATAGTAAGCTTCGCTTACACTATCTTTGTAACCTTTTTGTTTAATATATCTTTCTGACCTCTAACCCGTGTTCCGTGTTTTCCTTCCGTGGTCCCAACTTTGGGTCCACATCACTTCTTTTTTCTCCTTTCATTCAATTTTTCATTCTTTGACTTTTATTCCTTTTTGATTTTAATTCATTTACACCCTCCTTGCTTCTATTCGATTTGTTCTTCATCAGATACTAAGTCTAAAATTCCTGACTGAAATTAAAAAGCTTTTTCATGTTTACGGTATTAATTTTGCCAGTTTTAGCGCCAAGAATTAATGTTTTGTTCCACTTGACAGTTACCATTATTATTCGCCTCTTTCTGGAGCCTATCATCTTTCTGCTTCATTTAATCTTACAATTTTTAATCTTTCTCCTTTTAGTATTAAGAAAAATCACTCCCAGGATTTTTTCTCCTTTTATTTTTTCTGACAAACTCCAAGTTTATATTATTCTCGTCTTTATATTGCTTCATCTAAGCCAATTCTTTGCATTTCTTGTTAGTCATTTAATCCTATTTTCTCTCTCTATTTTTTTCGTTTTCTTTCTTTCCATTGTTTCTTTTTCAATCGCTAGTTTTTTGCCATAACCCTCCTCTGCTTTCTGGTATTGATCATTTATTTCTTTAATATAAAATTCGGCCATTTTTGTTATGTGTTCTCATTATTATGTTATCGTAATGTTACACTCTTCTTAATTTTTTTCTTTTCTTTGTTTTCCTTCTTCTTTTGTAACGTCTTCTATATTTCTTTTATCAGTATCTTTCTCCCTCTCCTAGTTCTCCTAATGATAGATACAAGTATTACTATTATTTAGAATGTATCATAGTATTGTTTTTGTGTTGTTGTCTTCAGAGACCAGGGAGGATACGGCCAATGAAGCCACTACTGGGTCCTCAGTCATACAGTAAACATTGTTGATGTAATGATAATGACACATTTCTGTAGCACCAACAATTATTATTTTCCACTTTGTTGATATATTTATTGAAATTCAGTGTTATAGGACCGAGTGCTCTAATCACTACCAGGATGGCTAACATTTTTCTCCGGAATTTCCAAAAATCTAGCAAGTTCAACTTTCAGTTTAAAGTATGTACACCCTTGTGTTAGTACTTCGTATGTCCATTCCACGAAGTCGTTCCTTGCAGATTGACCACAGATTCGACTGGATTTAAATCAGGAGTGTTTCCGCGCCACTCTATAGTACTTTGATTTGCTCACTGGTAAGACCTGTCAGTGTGTTCCTGCAGCGTTACAATTTTCGTACGCTTTCTTTGAGTAAGGCTCATTGCAGAAAATGGCCGTAGGACAACTAATCGACAGTCAAGAAAATAGTGTCTGGTCGTGATGAAAATCCCGGATGTCTCAATATTTTCAATGCTAAACAAATTTTAACATACACAACGAAAGTAGATTCATATTACTGCAAATGACCAAATCCGAAGAAAAAATAGAAATCGCCTTGTCGCTCCAGTGGATCTAAAACTGGTCGAATGGTGAAAGAATGAAACTAAAGGGTTTTTTTTCAATGAATTTGCTTAAGGGTGTATTTGCTTAGCGGGCTCAAGTCGCTACCGAATGAGATACAAGGTCGAAGTTTAAACTGGATTTAGCAACAAAACCGTGCAAAAAAATGCCCAAGCCCATCGGCACTTACCTTTTTGGGGACCTTTTAGAAGCCGGACAAACACAGCTATTTCCCGAAGGAAAAGTACTGCCTAGTGAGGAGATAGGCATCCTGAGTTGGCCATAATAATTTTTTTTAATCTTTCGCCGACGGAAGTTAACTATAACCTTCAGTTTAAATTAGTTGCTAATCTTCTCTATTTGCTTCGCTGTTATATTTGTGGTTAGCAACAATGGCCACATCAATTATTTGGCATTCATTGTACTGAAGACTATTATATTTAGTCTTTGGTTAGACATAACTTCAGGTTGTGTAATCCAAATCGCTTATGTTACGTCTTGGCTGTTGCCCTCTTCAACTTAAACACACACACACACACACATCTCTGACAAAAGCATAAGTACATATATTGGTTTGACGACTACAAAATTATCAGTACAGGAAAATATTTGTTGACACACCAGGATACTAAACCACGAAAATAATTTTAAAAAAGACATTAAATCCACGAGCACACTGTATCAATAGCAAGCAACCAACACTGAACAAAATTTATTATAAATATAGTAGAAATTATTTAAACTGCATTTGTTGGCTAACATTTAACATCATTTTGAAATTTACCATTTGCAATATTACCATTTCAGGCTATCGGCCTTGCATTGGGAATTCTTGCTTACAAACATCGTAAACACAACCGTTAATCTGAAGATTATTATAGCAGAGCGTGTTTGCGCATATTTGCAAAGTCACTATCACAATGCTTACAGTTACAGTAAGATTTTATTCGTAATTTCCCCCTGGGGAGAATCTGGGAGAACATCGAAAGTACTTGGGTTAACAAAACGCGGCGTCTTTTTTGATGAATTTCAAATAATTCACATCCAAAAGAAAATTAGAGAACTAGAAAGGATTAATTTAAAAATAGACTTAATACGTCTATATTATTTAATGAAACGCGTTGGAATGAAGGTTTCTGCCTAAATACACACACACGCGCGTTTTTGAGCCTTTTATATTATTTCCTTGCTCTGTCATAGACATTGAGTTCTACCTGGATTCTATCCTCTTGGATTAATATATATATATATATATATATATATATATATATATATATATATATATATATTTATTCTGGAATCTCCGTTGTATTCGAGGTATGGGCCGAAGCAACTCAGTTCCTAGTAACCGACAGCAAGGGCACCAGCACATATGATTTGATTATAGTAGTGAAGGCTTTGCGCAGAACCAAACACACTTTTCGGTGAGACACCTGCTGCAGTACATTCCACAAGGATCGGTCTAGGAAACTCTGAAGGTAACAATAATCAGCTAAGTGAAAACTCTCTCGACACTCGGTCACGGTGCTCACCGACTTCTACCACTCACGAACAGATAGACCTAACTAACTATAGTCAGTTAATTACAAGTAAATCTGTGAAAGTGATATTTAGTGCAGTCAATGTTAATACACCAAGAAAAAAACATGAACATTTTGACACCCCAAATCAATTCAGGTTAATCGTAATATCTGTTGTAGCAGTCAGGCAGTTATTAATATTTCATCTTTCGGATAGTTTATTGGATGTTATTAGCTAATTTTGACTTACTGTATATTAAGTTACATTACACAAAATTAGCTGTTCAGTACTTAATTCTTTGTACTGTGCCAAGCAAACTGCATTTCTACAGCACATAAAAACCCTCTTTTTAATTTCATATTTTTAGCAAAAGGGCAAAATTCTCTGATATTTGTCTAAATGCCAGGATTACAATAGGCAGAATCTCTACGTTTTAGCAAATACATATTCTATTGATTTCGTATGATCTGAGTCCTTACAATTTTCAATATTCTTTATGGTTTCTCGGCTACCCTGGTAAAAACTGGCAAAGTAAATTAATTCGTAGAATAGATTCCTTTCTTTTCTTCTTGTCCTTGTGCCTCTTGCTCTGGTTGTTATTTTTTTATTTTACATTTAATTCATATTTATCATTTCCAAATTCTTTTTCAAATTCTTCTTCCTTAAATTTGTATTTTTCTTCTTCTTCTTCTTCTTAGTATTATTATTATTACTATTATTATTCAAATTCTACTTTTCCTTCAAATTCTTTTTCATCAAATTCTTCTTTTCCTTCACATTCTTCAAATACTTCTTCAACTTCGAGTTAATATTCTTAAAATACTTCCTCACCTTCTTCAAATTCATCTTCAAATACTTCTTCATCTTCAAATTCTTCTTCTTGAAATTCATCCTCATCTTCTTCAAATTCTACTTCATCTCCTTCAAATTCTTCTTTCTTTAAATTATTATTTTCTCTGAATTCTTCCTCTTTTTCAAATACTTCTTGAACTTCAAATTTTTGTACTTCAATTTCTGGTTCTTCGTACTCTTCTGTCTCTTAAAATTCTTCTTTTTCTTCAAATTCTTCTTGTTCTTCAAATTCTTTTTCTTTTTCCAATTATTCTTCAAATTTATCCTTTTCTTCAAATTCCTCTTCAAATACTTCATCATCTTCAAATTCTTCTTCTTGCTCATCTTCAAATTCTTCTTGAGATAATTCTTCATCTTCAAATCCTTATTCTTCTTGAAATACTTCCTCATCGTGCTCAAATTCATCAAATACTCCCCTATCTTCTTCAAATTCATCAAATTCTTTTTCTTCAAATTATTCTTCTTCAAATTCTTTTTTTTTCAAATTCTTTTGCTTCTTGAAATTGTTCTTCAAATTATTCTTCAAATTTTTTCGTATTCTAATTCTTCTTCGAATTATATTTCTTCAAATCTTTCTTCCTCCTCTTCATCGTCTTCAAATTTCTTTCTTCTAATTTTTTACCGTCTTCATTTTATTATACTTCTTTATTTTATTCATTTATTTTTCTCTCATTCTCATGATTCCTGCTTCTTCTTCTTCTTCTTCTTCTTCTTATTATTATTATTATCCTTGTTCTTTTACTTCTTCTTCTTCTGTTATTATTATTATTATTCTCTTTCTTATTATTCTCCTTCTTCTTCTTTTTCTTATTATTCTCCTTCTTCTTTTTCTTATTATTCTCCTTCTTCTTCTTTTTCTTATTATTATTCTCCTTCTTCTTCTTTTTCTTATTATTATTCTCCTTCTTCTTCTTTTTCTTATTATTATTCTCCTTTTTCTTATTCTTCTCCTTCTTCTTTTTCTTATTATTATTTCTTCTCCTTTTTCTTTTTACATTTATTATTATTCTTCTTTTTCTTCTTATTCTTTCTTCTTATTATTATTATTCTTCTTCTTATTATTATTCCTTATCTGATTCTTCTTATTATTTTTCCTTCTTCATTCCTTCTTATTATTATCCTCCTCCTCCTTCTTATTATTATTATCCTCCTCCTCCTCCTCCTTCTTCAAATGACTTTTTTATTATCCTCCTTCTTTTCTATTTCTTTTTTTTCTTTATTTAATTATTTTCTTCTTTTCTGTTGGCATCATTATCCACTACTACTATATTATATTCTTTTCTTTTTTTTCTGTCATTCTCATAATTTTCCTTCTTCTTGAAGCTTTTAACATTTCTTGTTTCCATTCCTATTTTTCGAATCACCCATTTTCTCTTTCCTCCTCCTCTCATACCTTCCCGCTCTTTCCAGCCTCTTATATCCATTTGATTGGTTATAAATTTAAATTTCGTTACACTAAAAAGAACGCTCTTTACCCCTTTCGCATTTTGCTATTATTTCAATTCCCTAACAACTGCCTGCATAGTCTTAAATCAACTTTAAAATCTGGTTAACTTTAAACGGAAGGCGCTAGCAGATTTAAGGCCTGACGTACGCATTATTATTATTATTATTGTTATTGTTATTATTATTATTATTTTAAAATTTCAATCATGTTATACTCGCGCTGATGGAGCGAATACTTTAACATTAAGATGCAACTGATTATATTTTTTGCTGATATTTTTCCGATTATTTCTATTGATTCATTTAATCTTTTTCTTTTCTTTAACAATGCTTAAGGCTCCTGTCCAGCATTCTTTTCACTTGGCTTTATATTTTTATCCTTTCTGGCATTGTCTTCGTTTCTTCTTTTTCAATTTATTTTTCCCGTCCGTTATTTGTTCATTTTTATCTTACGGTTGCCCTTCTTTTTTTTACATTTTTTTTTTTGTGAATATTTAAAAAAAATGAAGCTACAGTTATTATACTGTTTCTTTCTTTATTTCTTTTTTTTTTCTTTTTTGATAAACCCCATTCCCTTTTCTCTCTTTTTTTATAATTTTCTCCTCCTCTTTTTCCTCCTTCGAAGTTTTGTTCTCGTTTATTTCAAATATAGTCGGGTTTTTTATATTAATTTTCGTAATACTACTTTGTGTCCTTTTACAATCTTCTTTTGTCTTCACCTGATACCTTCCAGCTTCTTTATTTTAATGGTATCAGTTAAAATTAAATTCAGTTAATAATTTTGATTTCCATTTTTACTGCTTTTTTCTTTGCGCGTCCCCTCCTCTTCCTAACGCTATCGAATTAAGGTTGATTCTATTTAGATCGTCAGGTGATTAACAAATTTGAAAACGTGAAGCATAAAACCGAGAAAAAAAACCATCAAGGAGACAATATGAATTTCCCCTGAAAATACGTTGTTCTTTATTAATGGGGAAAAAAAGATGCTATATAGAAGTTGAAGGAAGAAAATGGATATTTTCTATTTAATTACAAGGTAACCGAATGATTTTCGATGACGTGGTTAGTTTTCAAAGCATATTGATTTTAGTTTTCCGCGTAAATCTAGCAACGCTAAGTAAAACTCAAAAATCAGGCTTTATGAATTTTTGAAGTACTAGATTGTCGGCAAGGTCTAATTATTTTATATTTTAAATAGCTAGATAAATTTGAGGCTCACGAGATGGATTGAGGGCAAGAGGGACAGAGGAAAGCAACGTATGAACCTGCCAAACAAGTTTGAGTAACTGGATGACAACCACATTATACCTAAATCTAACCAGAGGCATTGACATCGCCAACTGCCAGAATATCCGACGAGGAATCTTTCAAGGAGTCTCCCAGCCAACCCTTCTGTTTTGTCTGACATTAATCTCTGTTACGCATGAACTAAACAATAAAAAATAATGGTTACAAATTAAAAAAAGAAAATACTCAATCACCTACTCTACATGGATGAGATTAATGTGCAAATGTAATATTCAAGGAAGAGAGATACACAACCACACCCAATAAATTTAGATTTTGTCACAAAGATTAGAAAACTGGAACTAGATGAAGCATATAGGTACCTTGGAATTACCGAAGGAAATCAAATATAGCATACCAAAATTAAGGAGAATTTAAGAAAGGAATACCACCGACGTGTTCGTCTATTACTGAATACCGAGCTAAAATAAAAAAAAAAAAAAAAAAAAAAAAACAGAATATCAGCCAAAAACACCTTGGCTGTCCTTGTGGTGCAATACAGTTTCAACATCCTTAATTTGACAATATTTGACATTAAGCGAACAGACGCCAAAATGAAAAAGCTTCTCACCTGCCACCGCAAAGATCATTCCAAATCTGAATATCCGACGAGGAATTTTTCAAGGAGAATCCATGTCGCCACTTCTCTTTTATCTGTCAAGATTCAATCACCTGGATGATCTCAAAATTTTTGTCAAAGACAACAATGATTTGAAGTGTCTCCTCAATAATGTAAAATGTTTCAGTGACGACATAGGTATAGATTTCGGATTAGATAAATGTGCAAAAGTAACATTCAAAAAAATGGTGAATTACAGAAATACACTCAATAGATTTCGATTTTGTCACAAATACTAGGGAACCGGAACATAATGAAGCCTATAAGTAAATAGGAATTAGCTAAGAAGATGGAATACGGTATATCCAAATGGGGGAGAAGGTAAAAATATTTTGCGTCTGGTACTGAATACCGTGCTGAATTTCAACATGCTTAACTGGAACATATGTACCCTAATTATATCAAATGGATGCCAAAATTTTTTTCACCTACCATCGCATGCATCATTACCAAAACTGATGTTGATCGTCTGTACGTCCCCAGATCAAAAGAGGACAGAGGATTAGTTAATTTAGAACTGTCTTAAAAAAACTACAACATTTTGCTTTTAAAGACCTGAAAATTACAGAAGATTGGATGATGAAAACAATATGAATTTAGTAAGAATTAAATTGATTCAGCAATAAATGAAGCCAACAAGTTCAAAATGATGTTTTAAATAAGTGAAAAATAAATGTAAAGCACAATACATTGAATGAAGCTGGAAAATGCTTTAAAAAAATAAAGCAAAGAAAATGCAACCGACCAGATACAGAAAAGATGGAAAAAGGTAAATCGCTTCACGGTCAATATCTATAATACCAAAATTAATATAGACAAATAAAATACCTATATTGACGAGACAACAAGGTTGAAAATATTGAATTTAGAAGGTTATATTCTTGCTGCACAAGACTATGCTTCCTTAATTAAAAAATTATCAATTATTAAATATTGAAAAAATGTGTTATTATCAAAATGTAGATTCTGTGATAAATATCCAGAAACAAAAAACCAACTTTTATCAGGTTGCACGATATTGATTTTATGAATATAAAACACAGCATGACAGAGGCATATATATTATTTGCATGGAAAATTTGCAACTTTTACAGAAAAAAAAAAAAATGTTCTGAACACATACCCAGACACGCCTACGGAGAAAGGACCTGAAAAAATTTTATGAGATTTTTAATACACAGGTAGAACAACCAAAGATAATCCCAAAGACATCATTAGTAGGAAAAACGGAAAGAAAATTATTGCCTCCTTCTTGATATTGCAGTCCCTGCAGACTGCAATGTATCTTTAAAGATATTCTAGATATTCTAAAAGCTATCAAAATAGAAATACCTTGAAATCATAAAAATGTGATACATGTCACATGAATATCAATTCCTGTTTTAGATCCGACTAGACCTCGGATTGATTGGAAAAGATTTTAATAGATTCATTGAAGAGATTCCTGGTAACCTATGCCTTAAAAGAAATACAAAACAAGTTCTTACGAAGTACAGCCCCTCAGCTTACGTTTCCCAATCTTTATCTATGTAAAATAAATAAACGTGTGTATTTTTTTTTTAAATGTGCTCAGTTGACAATGTCATCATGCCATTTCTAAACTTAGGTCTTTGGTCGGGAGCTGGAAAGAAATGACAAAACACCAAAAATCAAAGAAAATAAAATAATATTAGTAATAATAAACAAACAACAAATATGATTGACGTAATTTTCGCAATATTTTTTAACCGTTAGAAAAGATTGGTATTTAAGAAAAGAGAAATAAAAGAGGAGGTGTTTGACAATGTTCAACAATATTTCGACAGTAGGTCTGTCTATTTTAAGTTATGTTTAAAAAATTGCCACATGTATAATATCACAAAAGACATCTATTGAAAAATGAAAAATCTTATTTACAAACGTCGCTTGTCTTGGAGAAAATTGTTGTAATGGTAATCAACGCGTCAAAATGAATGAAACGCAGCCAGCATGAATGTACTGTACTGTAATGATGCGGCATTCACTCTGGGCGGATTGAGCCGGCTTCTTCCTGTTATGAGAAGAAGATTCTTGGGATAAATTACAGAAGTAGGGTACCCAGGCCTACTCGGATAACGTTCTTGCTTGCCGCGGGGGTTCCCACAGACGCAGAGACAGGAACGACCAGAAGCCGCCGGTTACCGATGCAGACGCTCCTTGGATTTTCACCAGAGCCCTTGTTAGCCGGCGTGTGTGTCAGACCTGTCCGCCTTGGGTGGCCCTACCAGGAACGAAGTTCCGGGCGGCATAGCTCTGACACTACCGTTTACACCCCCCCACCGACTGTGAGGTAAGGGTTGGACTTTGGGGGCTTACGGTCAAACCACGGTGTTCCCAAGCGGTTTCCCCATCTAAGTTAAGACCTGGCTCTACGAGGCTTAACTTCGGTGATCGAACGAGAACCGGTGTTTTCAGCGCGTGACCCCCAAAGTCCAGCATGAATGTAAGAATATGATGATAATTGATATTGAAAATCCTTGAAATTTTTCCTGTATTTGATTAGTTACTAAGAGGAATTAATAAGAAAACAAAATTTCGTATAATCTCATAGAACTCTCCTGTCTTTCTGTTCATTAAACCGAGAAGGGTAGTTAGTAGTTTATATACGTAACTATCCTCATGTGTTTTTATACTCGCAACCTTTATAGATTTTGAATAATTCTTTTCAGAAAGTACATCTTAATATCTTTTTCAAAATTATAGTCGTTTGTAATAAAATGTTCCATAAGCTCTGTTGATGTTATATTGTTAAACATTGTTAAACAATGTGTTTTTTACTTTTCTTTTAACTCTCTTAAAGCGCTCGCTTCTGTTAATAAAAATAATAACAACAACTAAAACAATAATAGACAAATGATGCTTTAATATCCTCCTGCTAATACTGGTTTTAAAATAAACTGCCAACTTCTATAAAATCTGGAAAAAATAATAAATCTCTGTACAAACGACGCTTGTCTTGTGACAGCGGTTGTTTGGGTCAAAATGAAGGAAACCCAGACAGTTTGAAAGTTATTCGATAAAAACGTCCAAATATGTTGTAGATCGTGTTCATCTTAGAATTTTTTCCTCCTTTGATTAGTTACTCAAAGGTAATAAAAAAATATTAGTATAAATTTAATGTCCAGCTGTTTTTTTTTTTTCAAAGAGTATTTATATGTACAAATACTTATACTTTTTGTTGATTTTTAAACCGTCCTACGCATTCGAGAAAACGTTGTAAAAACAATTTGACATCTGATAGGATTTTGAACCCCATAGGAAGAACCAACATCTGCATCAGTGTACGTTGAATACCATATATATATATATATATATATATATATATATATATATATATATATATATATATATATATATATATATATATATTTTTAAAATAATCGACGTCAGCCAGTTTGGCTGATGACTTAAATTCCTCTATTTAAAAGCTCTACAAATTAAAAATGTTATCTTTTTATATGTCTTATTGAGCACTTTTAAATACTACCTTCTCTTTTCTAATTCAAGTTGAACATTAAACACACACACACACACACATATTTATATATATATATAAACAAGACACAATGGATACATATATATTTATATGAATATATACATAGATACACTGATCCATAGATAAAAAGATAGAGAGACAGAGAGAGAGAGACAAAACATTCTCTTTTTAGATTATATCAGGTGATTGACTTTAATTCATCATTTTAAAATTCGTTTAATTTATTTATTAACTAAAATATTTACAAGAAAAGATCTTTTGTCGGAAAGAGATCCTTGAGCATGAAAATTTTATTTAAATTCAATATAGTCAAGTACTAGCTTCAGTTTCAGAAGTTTCTGGTGACAGATTATTTTAGATTAATGAAACATGGACTGATATATATATTTATATATATATATATATATATTTTATATATATATAATGAACAGATTGATATATAGATATATAGATAATGAAAATACTGATATATATATATATATATAATGAACATATATATATATATATATATATATATATTTAATATATATATATATATATATATATGAATAGAATATATATATATATATATAATGAACAGACATATATATATATATCAATATATATATATATATATATATATTCTGACTTAACATATATATATATATATAATGAATATAATGAATATATATATATATATATATTTTTAGATACAGAATATATATATATATATATAGATAGAAAGATAATAGATAATAAGATAATGAATAATGAACAGATTGATAGATAGATAATGGATAGATAGATAGATAGACTCCTTAGATTTTTAGATAGATAACAAACAAATGAATATATAAAATTATGTAAAATTTGAGTTCAGAAATTTTAAAAAACCAATTGATTTAAACGGATATGGTGAGACACAGACTTTGAGATGGAAAGGGCGTGTAAAGAATAAAAGTTGCATAATTGTCTTTATCCAGGGAAACCGAATCAGCACTAATCAAATTTTGTTTCAGACTGATAGAATTAATATTTAACTGACACCACTGAGATTGACACTGTGAAGTTTTAAATGAATTGAAAAATGTATAATTAGATTTTAAATAAACACAAGGAAAAAATCACTGATCGTATATACGCGGGATATTGCCGAAATAGGTACAGAATGCACTAAAACTTATCGGAAAATTCATTTTGGCTTTTTTTACTTATAAAGCAAAACCACACATTTATTTGGATATAAACATTTTTTTGTCACATTATTATAAATATCACAAAAAAAAAAAAAAACTTTACATTCAAAGCTTATGACTTGATATATTTGAGAGACAAAGCAGATGAACATTATATATATATATATATACCCAAGTATATGATTGGTATTCGGAATAAGTTTATGTAACCAAAATTACTATTCTTAAAAAGCGTGCTCAATACAGCAATTATTTCAGCGCATTATATATATATATATATAAATATATATATATAAAAGACATTTTATGTTTAACGTTCTTTTTATTTGTCCATTTCTTTATATATATATATATAACGTCATATATTTAAATTTGATACGCCAGAGCACAAGTTATGAATGTACGAGATTCAGATATATTTGAAGTTTATAAGCAGTAAATTTTTTTTTCACCGAACGCTCCATTGTGGCAGAGATTTTCCTAAATAGGATGCAGGTTCGAATCATGTCAAGGACGAATATTTTTTAAAATTTTTCGGACATTCATAGATTTTAAATTTTATTTAATACTGTTTATTATAAACAGAGCATTTAATGAAAATACTTATATCTATAAAAAAGAACGTTAAACATAAGAATGTCTTTGTTTATATATATATATATATATATATATATATATATATATATAAATATTTATATATATATAAATTATTAAAATTATACGTTTACTAAATTAGAAACAACTCAAAAAAAAATTTAAAAAGTTCATATAATTTCATTTTAAACATTTTTTTTTTTTGTGTTATTAAGTTTTAAAACAAGTTTAGGTTAGATGGGGCTGTTTTGATATGTAGATTACATAGATTTGTCATTTGTATAACTGTGGCTGGTCTGTCTTCAACGAAAATAATAAGTTTACACACAGATGTATATCTTTTGAAAAAATTCTGACAAGTTACTATTTTGACGAAACCTTTTTAAATGTCTTATTTTCTGGACTGTTGCGTCCTCCTTGATCGAAGACGGCTTCCGATATGTCTGGGGAACATCAGGCGGTTTCAAATCCATCTGCCGGCAACAGTAGGAACCGTGTGAAGGTTTATCGTCATTGGCTGAACTCGATGCCGAAACTGCGGATGCTCATAAACATTTCCTTCTGCATATGAAATAAAGTCTTGTGTTGGACTTGACGTCACGTCCGCAGTAGTAGTGTAGGATGATTCAAGGGATGAAGAAATTTGAATTTTATATTAAGCTCTCTTGGTTTATTTTTATTATTTATCTTCTGATGTTTCCGAATTTTTTCCTGCATATGCTCTTCTCCAATTGATTCGTTCTGCAGACCCTTCTCTAATTGACTGGATTGATTTCCGTTCTTTGATAATGAACAGGCTGCGATAGATAGATAGATAGATAGATTGATAGATAAATAGATAGATAATGAACAACTGAGATAGATAGATGGATAGATAGATAGATAGATAGATAGATACACAATTTCAATGAACAGACTGAGATAGATAGATGATAGATAGATAGATAGATAGATAGATAATGAACAGAGATAGATAGATGGATGATAGATAGATAGATAGAAAAATGAACAGACTAGATAGATAGATAGATAGATAATAAATAGATAGAAAATGAGATAGATGAGATAGATAGATGGATAGATAGATAGATAGATAGATAATAGATAATGAACAGACTGAGATAGAATTTTGAAAAAATAGATAGATAGATAATGAACAACTGAGATAGATAGATAGATGGATAATAGATAGATAGATAGATAATGAACAGACTGAGATAGATAGATGGATAGATAGATAGATAGATAATGAACAGACTGAGATAGATAGATGGATAGATGAATAGATAGATAATGAACAGACTGAGATAGATAAATGGATAGATAGATAGATAGATAATGAATAGACTGAGATAGATAGATATATAGATAGATATATAGATAGATAGATAATAGATACTTAGAAGATAGATGGATGGATAGATAGATAGATAGATAGAAAATGATGAATAGATAGATGATAGATAGATGGATGGATAGATAGATAGATAATAAAAACATGAACTGATGAGATAGATAGATGGATAGATAGATAGATAAATGGATAAGATATATAGATAGATAGATAGATAGATAGATGGATAGATAGATAGATAGATAGATGATTTTGAAGGGATGAGATAGATAATTTTCCATATAACCGACCATGTATGAACAGACTGATTGATAGATAGATGGATGATACGATATTGAACAGACTGAAATAGAAGATGGAATATGAATCAGACTGAATTAATAGATGGATAGATCTGAACAGATAGATATAGACTAGATCAAATGTGAACAGACTGAGATAGATGGATAGATCTTATAATGAATAGACTGAAAAGATGGATAGATAGATAGATAAATATAAAACAGACTGAGATAGATAGATAGATAGATTGATTTTAATATAAAATATACCGTACCATATTGGTTGATACCATTATTATAATCAATCATTTAAGGTTCAACTTTTGACTGAACAGATAACATAGGAACGGTCTTAGATAGATAAAAACTATATTTAAATATAGATACATTTCTTGTTTCAATAAAAATACAAAAATAAAGTACGAATTATTCCATGATCAAGGTTTAATCGACGAACAGATGTTCTTACTAGATGCGAATAAACAGAGGTTATTTTATATAGTAGGTTTCGATAGATAGATAGATAAGGAACAGATTTCATAGATAGATGATGGAGAACTAGATTTCGATAGATCAGAATTATTTTCGATAGATAGATGTTGTGGTAGGATCCACCTAATTTGCATAGTGTCATTTACCGACCATATAAATATGGTTGGTACCGGGAAGAGAAGGGAGGAATCAAGAGATTCAACCAGAGACTCTGCCCGACTGCGACTCAGTCAACACATTCTCCAGGAACGGTCTTACCAGGAATATACAAAAGACTATATGTAAATATTGTGTACACTTTCTTGTTTCAATACATTTTGTTCTAAGTACATTTTGTGTTGCATTATTATTCCATGCATTAGTCAAGTTTCAAAGGTTAAGCACTTATTAATTTTGGACGAACACTCCATTCAGCATAATTTGATTGTAATATTTTGCTTTTGTTTGGTGATCAGTTAAGATCCGAGTCAAAATGCAGGGTTAATTTCAATGACTTTTCCTCTGAAGAGAGCATATAATATACAAATATATATATATATATATATATATATATATATATTCAGCATTTTATTATATCTTTTGAATTAAAGCAGTGTTGTATATCAGGGATCGAAGATCTGAATAAATTGTTCAAGTTTTATTTGTTCTGTTATATGCAAAATTACTTTTTCGACGATCTCAGGCATTATTAAAAGAAATATATATATATATATATATATATATATATATATATATATGTGTGTGTGTTGTGTGTGAAGATAATCAGACAACGTGTAAATACTATAAACGACGCATTTTGCTTTCGCTTCTTCATGTAGGAATGAAAGACAAACTCATTTACGTTAAAAATCGTTTGTTTTTTCTCTATAACCTGAAAAGATTGAAAGAAACAGTAGTTCTCAGGGTTTCCGCGTCGTTGATATTTCTCCACATTTCTCATTATCTTCAATTTTTGTTTCGGATACAATTATATATATATATATATGTGTGTGTGTGTGTGAGAGAGACAGACAGACAGAGACAGAGAAAATTAGGAGGGCTAATTTTCGACATTTTATATTATAACTTTGGTATGTGCACATTCAGTTTTAATTTTTGTCGAATTGCACATTACAGTTAAATCAAGTTGGGTGATTTTCTGTATGAAATATTGCACCATTGCAATTAAATCCGCCAGAAAAATTTCAAACAGCACTGCTGTACTGCTTGGCATTTGCGCCAGCAACATTATAGACAAAAAAATAAGCATTTCAAAGGTGTTTGGGTTTTACTCTTTTATATTTGCAGCGGATTCGGCTTAGTTGGATGCGTCTAAAGATGATTATGGAAATTTTTGGAGCGATGACTAGAAACAAAAACAATATGCCGCTATTTATCTTCCCACAGAGTCTCAGATTCAACACGGACGTCAGCATCAAGTGCCTTGACGGATTACTGTGTTGAGTCAATGATGTGACAGCTGCAATACCCTATAAAATAACATGGCTCTTTAACCATACCTCACAAACAGAAGACCAAATTATCACCCCTGATATTTGACCATAGGGATTATGACAGCATTCACCAACCTAATCAAGGAGACCGTCTAGGAGAAATGCTGAAGTCGTCTAGAGGTCCTTTAGGTGAAGCCAATGGCGATTTTATTGAACAAATTTATTCCTTTGTATTTCAAGATATTTTTGTTTAATTTTGGTAAATATATATCTGTTCAAATGAGATGTCAGTGTTGTTTTTTCATGTTATATTCATTTAGAATCAATTTATCCATCGCACCCTGTATATCTTTTAAAATGGGATATCAGTGTTATTTTCATTTTTTCTTCATTTAGACAACAATTTATCCATCGCACCCCCTGTATATCTGTCAAAATGAGATGCCAGAGTCATTTTCATTTTTTCTTCCTTTAGACAACAATTTATCCATCGCACCCTGTATATCTGTTCAAATGAGATTTCAATGTTATTTTCATTTTTTCTTCATTTAGACGGCAATTTATCCATCGCACAGGCATATGTCTGTTCAAACGAGAAGCCAGAGTCATTTTCCTTTTTTTGCGTCATTTAGACGACAATTTATCCATCGCACCCTGTTTATCTTAAAATGAGATGCCAGTCATTTTCATTTTTGCGTCGTTTAGACGACAATTTTATCCATCGCACCCTCTATATCTGTTCCGATGAGATTTCAGTGTTTTTGAAATGTTCGCGTCATTGAAGACGAAAATTTATCCATCGCACCCTGTATGTCTGTTCGAATGAGATGCCAGAGTCATTTCCATTTTGCGTCATTTACAACGCCAATTTATCCATCGCACCCTGTATGAATACATACGAGGTGATTGGGATTGAATGAAGTAACTATTGAACAGTTCAAGACAGTATGTATACATTAAAATGTTGAATAATTAACGATTCATTTTCATTTCTCAACTTATTGAAGTACTTATGGGAAATCAATACTGGACAGTGGATGAAAAGAGTTTCAAAACATATATTGTACGTTTGAATGAATTTTTTATATATATATATATATATATATGACTTGTTTTTCTATTTATTGATCAGTGTTGAGGGAATTAATTTTCACGTTAATAATGGAAGAGCCTTTGAGTAAGTCTGTCGGCAATGCATTTTTGAAAAACTGGCTTTCATCTGTATCCTATTTTTTTAAAGGTAATGCAATATTTGGATACGGCAATATATTGGCGATTGTTTGTATGTCATTTCCTTTCTATTTCTTCAAAACCGGACGGACATTTTGTTTTGCTTTGTTGGCAGTTAATCAATTTATTCTTTCTATTTACTAGTCCTGGGTATGGTTGATGAACAACATCCAAAGAAAGGCCTTCTGCCAGGTTATTAAAGGTTTTAGAAGCATGGAAGCAAATATAATTTGAAATAATCGTTCCCAGGTCCACTTGGGTTTTACTATCTGTTAAGGTCCCAGATATAAGCAGATATATAAACCTCGAAAAAAAAAAAAAAAACACTATGAATGTATAAAAATACATCAAAATTTTTAAAAACATCATTTGATATAGTAAAATGACCAATGAATACATTTTTTATAGTAAAATTACCAACAATTTTTTTTCTGTATTGAAGGCGTATAATTCCATTCAGAATATGAAAATTTAAGCCATAAAATTGTCCTCAAAATATTTTGATTTCGGCATTAAATAACCCATTGAGGTATTAATATATTTTAAAACTAATCAACTAACTAAATCTTCTACAGAATTCTTAACGTTGAGGACTATGGTCATGCACAATTTTTTTTTAATCATTTGTAAATTTTATAAATTTATCTTTACCATCTCTGCTCAAACTTCTTCCGACATTCTTTCTAACAAGCTCGCAAGGTACGTTATTTGTTTAACAATAATATATTTACTCGTTTTATTTTTTTAATAAAAAAAAATTAAGATTTCTGATCATTTTTTTATCGTTTTCTCGCTAATGGAACATTTTCTGGTTTCTTGCTTACACGCCACCTAAGATCTTAAAACATTTAACGAAACGTCAGTTGAATCTGTCATCCTGAATCCTGATTTCTGTTTTAAATTCTCTTCAATAATGGTTCCTTCTGTTTTTTTTATTCGGCATCATAGCATGTTCGCTATCCATTCGCACATTTAAAATCATGATACGTTTTAAATATGTTATCCTATAAATCCATATATTTCAAAATCTAAGTATCAAATTTCCCATGTTTCTTTTTTCAAATGTGTCAATTGAAATCATATATCTTTTAATGTTTAGCAAATTAAATAAACATATAAATATACTGGAATAAAAATATATATTCTATGATATTAAAAATTATCTTGTTTATAACCACAATTTTTTTTTTTCAAGAATTCAATATATGTTCAATTAATTTTTTAAAACGTTTTTTGCAATATAGGAGGCCTAAATATAGTGTTAAAAAAATTTTTGCGTAAATTTAACAAAAATTTATTCAAGATCCATTATGCACAAATAACACACTGTAGTTTGCACAAATATATATATATATATATATATATATATATATATATATATATAAAACCTACCAAGATTTCATCCTTATTTATATAGGTCAACAAGGTATTTGGAATACAAATATAAAAACAACCATGAAAATCGTGACTAAAAAAAAAAAAAACAACCAAAAAACCGTAACTCAACAACGGCTGAATGGGAAAATTAAATGTTTTTTTATTCAATAACCGGAATAAAAAAATAAAAATATAAAAAAAAATTATAATAATAACCAGCGTTTTATATGTCTACACCTACCAGGATTTCATATTTTAGATTTAATAAATTATTTGTTTCTTTATACAAAGCAATAAATAAATTTTATTTTGTGCATAGTGAACAAAATTCATCACCTGCTTTATACCTTAAATTTTTTTTAATATTTCCATTTCAAAAAAACATTTATTATTCGCTTGTTTGAATTCATATATAAATACATTTAAAATGGCGCTATGTGTGCATGTTTAAATTATTAAAACGACTAATAAATATAGAATATCATAAAATTATTTTTAAAATTATTTTGGGTACAAAATATATATAAATTATATAAATTTTTATCAGTATTAAATAAATTATCCATATATATTTATAAATTGGTATATCTCAAAGTTCTTGTTGGATTTTGCCTTGGATTTATTTTTATAAATTTTCTTATTCCATCAATTAAAAAAAAAAAATAAAACCCTTGATGAAGCCTTACTACTGTGAAGCTTAAGAATTTATATAAATCTGTTTTTTTTTTTGAAAAAAAGGTCTGATGAATTCTTGATTCTCTTTTAAGATTCCAATGG